TTGTTTGATCGCTGTTGCAGCCGCTGGATACGACTACTCACCCAATACTCAAGCACAACATGGCGGCGCTCAACTCTCCGAACCTATTCAGCCCGTCAACGAGTACAACAAAGAATTCTATACCTATTCAGCTCCTGAATCTGAATTCGATGATGCTGGCGCCAATGGTGAAATTGCCAATGCAGTAAAGAAGAACTTGCGCGTTGTCTTCATCAAGGGACCAGAAAACAACGGACTCGAGAATGCTGCTTTGCAGCTAGCTAGGGCTGCTGGTGATGAACGTACCGCCATCTATGTACTCAGCAAGCAAGCTGACATCGGTGATTTGGCCAACCGATTGAATTCAGTGCAGAGTAGCGCAAGCAAACCTGAAGTGCACTTCGTCAAGTACAGGACCCAAGCTGACGCTGAGAATGCCCAACGTGCTATCCAATCACAATATGATTCGTTGCCAGGTGGTTCAAGCAACCATAATGCTGCATCTGCGCCCGTATTGAACTTTGCCAGCCAACCATCTCCTGCTCCTGCCCCTGCTCCAGCTCCTGTTGCTGCTGCTCCTGCGCCAGCTCCTGTTGCTCTGGCTGCTGCTGCTCCCGCGGCGCCCGCCAACACTTACGTTCCACCACAACCACAAGCATATTTGCCACCTGGCAGAAGGTTTTAAGCCACACGCGTGATATTCGGGGTGATGTCGTGATTAACTGTTGACTAGTTTTAAAGTGATTCTCTTTTGTTGAATGTTTTATTTTTCTTTCATCGATTGAATAAAGCAAAAAATTTAATACATACAATTGTACAAAAAATAATAATTATTAGCCCGGTCAAGTTAGATTTTCGATGTTGCAATAATTCGCAACAAGTTGAAAATTGGTACGGATGTTGCGAACAATATTATAAATGAAATGTAAAAGTACTCATCGATGCCACATCTGCAAAATAATTTGATCAAGGTCAAAGGTCACATAAATTGTTTAACTAAATAATGTTGTGTGAACTATTGTACCAGTGAAAGTGATGAAAGCGGTGTGAATTATAAGTATAAGTTTTACGCTGCCACCGAACGGCTAATCTTATTACATTAAACGAGCAATTCTTGTATATATATATATATATATATATCCATAGGGTTCTCGGAAACGGCTTTAACGATTTTGATGAAATTTGGTACACAGATAATGTTTTGGATTTTAAGGCTATCTGAATAGCCATTATCTTCGAGAAGACTCGTATAAGATTGCCATATATTCGAAATAAGTTACAAATTAATTAAAACATCATAATATGGGTATCAAATGGAAGGTATTTTAAATATCCCTAATTCAAAAATATTCTTAATAGGGTTGCCACCTATTTTGAATCGCACATTTATTTAATTTTTTGTTTAGAAAAAAGGTAAAACATTACTAGTCATGGTTACCAAGATAAGGTTCTTAAACAAAATGTTATATACAAAATGTTATCTCTTAGGATAATAGTGTAAGATTGCCACTTATTTCCGATTCTACACAATTTATCTTAAACATCGCAATATGGATATCAAATGAAAGGTATTGTTGAGAACTTTGGTCAGAAAATATTTTTCATCAGGGTTGCCACACTTCTATGTAATACAAATTTTTATTTTGTTAATTTCAATCAAAATTTGTTTATGTATACATAGTACATATACGCTCAAGATATGTACCATTCATTCCAGCCTATTTCGGAATAGGGTTGCCACCTAACTATTAGAGTAAGGAATTTACTTAACAGATATCGAAATCCTTTTTTTCAAAATATTTTTTAAAGCTACTAGTTTTAATGAGAAGCTTTTTTCATGTTAGAAATACGGTCAAAGGTTTGCCTTCAAGAAACATCACAATAAATATTTTTCATTATTTCTGTTGCTTGAGAAAGAGTTTTGCTTTTACTGAAATTTGCTTGAAGAAATAAATATACGAGCATTTTTTTCTCGAGAGCTGCAAAAGGATTTAAACAATTTTTGATAGAAGAAATTTCTTTTTAATTTTTTGTGCGTCATTTTGTATGCATTTTTCGTCTTTTTTTGAGACCTGGAAACAGCCTCATCAGTTCAACAAATTTTAATAGAAATATGTTTGTATAACATTACCAATTTTTTTTTTACGATGAAAATTCTGATAGTTAAATTTTTTAATTTCACGTACCAGTTTTACCTGTAAGACTTTATGTCTGCTAACAGATGTATCATATTTGAAGAATGTACAGAAAATAATACTGTAAGTTATTCTTCTTTTCTTTTAACTATTATTGAACAAGGATTCTTAAATGTTGCGCTGACATTTCAAAGGTTTTTTGGTGCATTATGTCGATATATCGATATTTCAAAAACGATATTATCGATACGACGACTTATTTCAATTTCGCCATTTCGATATATCGAAAAGCGATATTTTTGAAAATTTTAACAATCCTACCTTAGGCCGCCTCCGAACCGCTAATGGTTTTAATGAGAAGCATTTTTCATAACAGAAATGCAATCAGAGTTTTGCCATAGCCTGCAGAGGGGCGATGTAGGTCGAACCAAGGTCCTACGGCGTTGTAGTACGCACTTCTTACCACTCAGTCACAGCGGTCGTCTAATTGACTATGAAAATGCCCAATTAATTTTGTATTGTGAATGTAACATTCGATACGGTACTAGGGTTCTGCTACTCGTTTTGAAGAATATCGTTTTAAAACTATCGGTATCATTCTAAATGCCCGATTTTTGCCGTCTGTCCGGGGGAAATTTTTATTTGCATTTGTTCTTTTTAATACGAGTTAACTCTGGCTGACTTCCAAAACGTATCAATACAATAGGGCTGTTCAGGATGTTGTAGAAATGGACTTGGATTTGCAGTTGGAATTGCAGTTCAAAATTTTGTGCTTGCTGCCATGGCAACCGTGGGAATTTACAAATGCGACGAGTATGCAAATGAAAGAGTACATGTACAAGATCATGAACAGCCCTAATGTTTTGTTACTGCTGTTCTCAGCACGCGCGCCGCATGGAAAGTTAATTAAGCACACATTTTCTTGAAAACTTCAATGTGAAACATCGCCTTAATGTTCAATTTTGAGCTTTTATAAATTTCGTTAGTTGTATTTATGCCAAAAAGAGAAAAAACCTTGTACCCATGCAAAAATTTCTGTTTTGAAAGTTATTGAAGGCATATTGAATAATTAAAGAGTTTTGACAAGGATCTAAATAATTGCCTCTACTAAGCTATTGCAGCCACCAGATATAAAATATTTCTTTAAGATATAGATTCTTGCACATACAACTGGCAAATAAATGTACTAAATTTTTCGAGTTTTTTTTTAATCTGTTTGACCTATTATTAATTATTAACTTAAAATTTACTCGGGCCTTATGCAACATCAAGTTTTAATTCGCTCAGTCGCTCAGTCGCCCAGCCTAGGTTTAAACTGACAAATGTAATTAAACTTCAGAATAAATACGTTTTTAATTTTCATCCCGTGTTTATTTGGGCAGAACACATTTTCATATTCATATGCAATATGTTATACAGTATTACCCGCTTGATTGCACTTAAAAAATTGGACGATTTTCGATTCAGTTAACTGGGGAATCAATTGACCGATACTCGTTTAATTAAACAGTGAACGTAAAAAACAATTAACCGGGAAAATTGAAGGTATATCTCTTTTCACCACCACCACCTCTTTTTAACCAATTATAAGGGGAAACCAATTAACTGGGTTCAATTATACGGAAAAATATACATGGATTTTTATTGAAATATTTTTTGTTTTGTTATTCAAATAAGAGAGGAAGGAAATCAATTAACCGGGGGACAATTAAGCGGGGAATACTTTAATATACATTAGACTGCATCACTCCCCATAAAAAAAAAATAAAATCGGTACTGTGTTTCCATCGGAATTATAAAATCGATTTTATTTTAAGACTTTCACCACAATATTTCGGAAAAATATTAAGATTTACGTGAGCTTGACTGATTTGAAAATACCCCCAAAAATTAGGCTTAGACGTCTTCAAATATAATAAATTTTTCAATCCCGGCAGAAAACTGCAACTATTTTTGGTGATGCAGTCTAATATACCTATATTATGTATATGAAATTTTTATAATCTAAGGCAATCATTAATTGGAATTTAATTGTGTAATACATACACACTCATATAATTAAATATAAACGGGTACATGATTTAGTTAGAGCCAAACTTTCATTAGTTTTTAACCATCGATTGATATATGTAGGTATATACGAAAAAATGCGGATCACTGTAAATAAGGGTATTTTAATACAAAAAAATTATGACGTTACTTTTGAAAATACACAAAATCGAATCGGCTCGAGGAGTAAGTCACACAAATCAAATATTAATTAACTGAATATTTTATATTTGTAGTAGCTTTTCCAATTACCAAGTAAAATTTTTTTTTGTAGCACAGAGTTATCGCTCATATTCAGCGTGTCGAGTGTCTAATTTATGAGGAGTCTTTGGTACAATTATTCAATTGCTCCCTGAAAAAGGATAAAACCACTAATGAAATGGTAGTAAACAAAAACTTAATGCTGACAAAGGATGTCAACGATATTAAGTTGCACAGCACATTGTTCGGCGAACGTAATGGTAGCGTTATGAAATTTCATGAAGGTGAAGTTGATTTTTGTCAAGCATTAGGTCATCGCTTCGATTCCTTTTTCTTTCGTTTGGTTAANATATTTTATATTTGTAGTAGCTTTTCCAATTACCAAGTAAAATTTTTTTTGTAGCACAGAGTTATCGCGCATATTCAGCGTGTCGAGTGTCTAATTTATGAGGAGTCTTTGGTACAATTATTCAATTGTGAATTTGATTTTTGTCAAGCATTAGGTCATCGCTTCGATTCCTTTATCTTTCGTTTGGTTACCGATGAGCTACGTAGAATATCGAATTTTCCGCTAGAGTGTCCACTAAAAAGTGTAAGTAAGTAAGAAAAAAACTATAGCAGCACTTATGAAAGCTTGCAATTTGAAATATTCGTATTTTTATAAACCTACATATATATGTATGTACCTACGTATATTAGGGTGGTCCAAAAATCCATGCGTAAAAGTAAAGTATATATAAAATATACTCTCACACGCTGGGATTGTTCCATACCGAAGAACAGACCTCTTTTTTTTGAAATCAAGCAATATTTAGAGGCCTCTCAAAGCGCTGAAAATTTTAAATATTTATATGGGAAAAAATAATTGTCGTAGAAATGGCATAGAGTTCTTTAAAATCAATATTTTTCAATCAGAAAACTTTGTTTCTCTTCAGGAGATTCCCAGTAATAATACCCAATAGTTTATTTATGCACTTTTTCATTGAAAAAATTTATTTTTAGATCCGCCAAAAATCCGAGAAAATGAAATGGGGGACCAACAAAAATCTTTAGTATTAAAAAATGATTAAATAAACAATTGGGTATTATTGGAGCCTCCTGAAGAGAATCAGAATTTTCCGATCAAAAAATAATGATTTTTAAGGATTCTTCATCATTTCTAAGGCGACCGCTGCTTTGAGCGACCTCTAAACATTTATTTCTTTAAAGAAAATTAGGGGTATATTTTTTCGATACGGAACAATCCTAGGGTGAGAGAGCATTAAAGTACCGACTTACCCTAATGTATATACACGGAGTT